ACACATAAAGCGGACCGCAAGCCTCACACAAGTCAATTTTTCTGCAATTGTGGTTTAGTGGTAAAATGCCTCTTTGCCATCGAGGCGTCCCGGGTTCGTTTTCCGGCAGAAGCACTGTATTAGTATATTCGGTGCACTGGTCTACGGAGGCTGTCATTTTGTTTTATTCTCTATTTGGGCTATCTGTGTGGGTCGGATTGGCAGCTGTCGGACCAAATGGTACGTGGTTGCTGACGCTCGGTCGATTGAGGTACGGAAGCCAGCTCAGGCTCCCCGTTACGACCGCGGGTATCACCCGAGGGGCGGGGGTGGCTGAGGGTATCAACTCGACCAGCACTTGGTTCATCAAGGACTCGTTTCGTGTGATCTCGGTTGGCTGCGATGACACCACATTGGTCGTGGCGGGTGACTGCGTATTGGTGGTGGCTTCAAACAATTGCTGATCGGTTCCGTTGGTCATGGTCTTGGTCGATTCGGTTCACCTCCTGTTGGACCAGTTCCTATTCATTCGAAACGCGGTTGTCGCTAGCACACCCAGGATGCGACAAGAACCAGCCTCCAATAACATCCACTTGACCCTCATCGTCAGCGTCTGGATTTGAACGGGTCCAGACAATTTCCAGTCTACCCCTTAACCACTCGGGCAAGCTGTCCATCCGGCGCACCGTGTAGTGGCGGAGAAACGTGGGGGTAGAGGTCCTCTAAAATTTGGGGGAAGAAGTCAACCGAATCGACCAAGACCATGACCAACGGAACCGATCAGCAATTGTTTGAAGCACCACCAATACGCAGTCACCCGTCACGACCAATGTGGTGTCATCGCAGCCAACCGAGATCACACGAAACGAGTCCTTGATGAACCAAGTGCTGGTCGAGTTGATACCCTCAGCCACCCCCGCCCCTCGGGTGATACCCGCGGTCGTAACGGGGAGCCTGAGCTGGAATCCGGTGCCAGATTTTCCAGGGCGCTCCGACAGTGTGGATGCGTGGTTTGTACAATTTGAATCGCAAATGCGAGCCGCAAGACTTGCTCAAGAATGCTGGGTCGAGAAGCTTTTCGAATGCCCAAAGCTTTTCAAATGCCCAAAGCTAGGCATAGAGTTCAAGG